GCTCAACCCCAGGCAAGAGAGGTGGTAGAGCACCCAGGAAGGAGAGGTGGTAGAGCCCCGACACACAATACCTGGAGCTCAACCCCATGCAAGAGAGGTGGTAGAGCCCCCACACACAATACCTGGAGCTCAACCCCAGGCAAGAGAGGTGGTAGAGCACCCAGGAAGGAGAGGTGGTAGAGCCCCGACACACAATACCTGGAGCTCAACCCCAGGCAGAAGAGGTGGTAGAGCCCCCACACACAATACCTGGAGCTCAACCCCAGGCAGGAGAGGTGGTAGAGCCCCACACACAATACCTAGAGCTCAACCCCAGGCAGGAGAGGTGGTAGAGCCACACACACTACCTGGAGCTCAACCCCAGGCAGGAGAGGTGGTAGAGCCCCACACGCACAATACCTGGAGCTCAACCCCAGGCAGGAGAGGTGGTAGAGCCCCCACACACAATACCTGGAGCTCAACCCCAGGCAGGAGCGGTAATACCTGGAGCTCAACCACAGGCAGGAGAGGTGGCAGAGCCCCCACACACAATACCTGGAGTTCAACCACAGGCAGGAGCGGTAATACCTGGAGCTCAACCCCAGGCAGGAGAGGTGGTAGAGCCCCCACACACAATACCTGGAGCTCAACCCCAGGCAGGAGCGGTAATACCTGGAGCTCAACCCCAGGCAGGAGAGGTGGTAGAGCCCCCAGGCAGGAGAGGTGGTAGAGCCCCCAGGCAGGAGAGGTGGTAGAGCCCCCAGGCAGGAGAGGTGGTAGAGCCCCCAGGCAGGAGAGGTGGTAGAGCCCCCAGGCAGGAGAGGTGGTAGAGCCCCCAGGCAGGAGAGGTGGTAGAGCCCCCAGGCAGGAGAGGTGGTAGAGCCCCCAGGCAGGAGAGGTGGTAGAGCCCCCAGGCAGGAGAGGTGGTAGAGCCCCCAGGCAGGAGAGGTGGCAGAGCCCCCAGGCAGGAGAGGTGGCAGAGCCCCCAGGCAGGAGAGGTGGCAGAGCCCCCAGGCAGGAGAGGTGGCAGAGCCCCCAGGCAGGAGAGGTGGCAGAGCCCCCAGGCAGGAGAGGTGGCAGAGCCCCCAGGCAGGAGAGGTGGCAGAGCCCCCAGGCAGGAGAGGTGGCAGAGCCCCCAGGCAGGAGAGGTGGCAGAGCCCCCAGGCAGGAGAGGTGGCAGAGCCCCCAGGCAGGAGAGGTGGCAGAGCCCCCAGGCAGGAGAGGTGGCAGAGCCCCCAGGCAGGAGAGGTGGCAGAGCCCCCAGGCAGGAGAGGTGGCAGAGCCCCCAGGCAGGAGAGGTGGCAGAGCCCCCAGGCAGGAGAGGTGGCAGAGCCCCCAGGCAGGAGAGGTGGCAGAGCCCCCAGGCAGGAGAGGTGGCAGAGCCCCCAGGCAGGAGAGGTGGCAGAGCCCCCAGGCAGGAGAGGTGGCAGAGCCCCCAGGCAGGAGAGGTGGCAGAGCCCCCAGGCAGGAGAGGTGGCAGAGCCCCCAGGCAGGAGAGGTGGCAGAGCCCCCAGGCAGGAGAGGTGGCAGAGCCCCCAGGCAGGAGAGGTGGCAGAGCCCCCAGGCAGGAGAGGTGGCAGAGCCCCCAGGCAGGAGAGGTGGCAGAGCCCCAGGCAGGAGAGGTGGCAGAGCCCCCAGGCAGGAGAGGTGGCAGAGCCCCCAGGCAGGAGAGGTGGCAGAGCCCCCAGGCAGGAGAGGTGGCAGAGCCCCCAGGCAGGAGAGGTGGCAGAGCCCCCAGGCAGGAGAGGTGGCAGAGCCCCCAGGCAGGAGAGGTGGCAGAGCCCCCAGGCAGGAGAGGTGGCAGAGCCCCCAGGCAGGAGAGGTGGCAGAGCCCCCAGGCAGGAGAGGTGGCAGAGCCCCCAGGCAGGAGAGGTGGCAGAGCCCCCAGGCAGGAGAGGTGGCAGAGCCCCCAGGCAGGAGAGGTGGCAGAGCCCCCAGGCAGGAGAGGTGGCAGAGCCCCCAGGCAGGAGAGGTGGCAGAGCCCCCAGGCAGGAGAGGTGGCAGAGCCCCCAGGCAGGAGAGGTGGCAGAGCCCCCAGGCAGGAGAGGTGGTAGAGCCCCACACAAAGCACAACACACCGCCACCACAAACACCCGCATTTGTCCTCCTCTACAAACAACCTAATTATTTCTCTTGTATCACCGTGAGATGTTAGTGTGTTTGTTTAATTGTTTTGTAGTTGACCCGGAAGAATTGTCTTTTGTTTGTTTTATTTGTGAAGTCATTGTTTTTTCTCAATCATATCAGACGGCTCTCATCTCGTGAGGTGACTGTCTGCTCTCATCTCATGAGGTGACTGTCTGCTCTCATCTCGTGAGGTGACTGTCAGCTCTCATCTCGTGAGGTGACTGTCTGCTCTCATCTCGTGAGGTGACTGTCAGCTCTCATCTCGTGAGGTGACTGTCAGCTCTCATCTCATGAGGTGACTGTCTGCTCTCATCTCATGAGGTGACTGTCGGCTCTCATCTCGTGAGGTGACTGTCTGCTCTCATCTCGTGAGGTGACTGTCTGCTCTCACCTCATGAGGTGACTGTCTGCTCTCATCTCATGAGGTGACTGTCTGCTCTCATCTCGTGAGGTGACTGTCAGCTCTCATCTCATGAGGTGACTGTCAGCTCTCATCTCATGAGGTGACTGTCAGCTCTCACCTCATGAGGTGACTGCTCTCATCTCATGAGGTGACTGTCTGCTCTCATCTCATGAGGTGACTGTCTGCTCTCACCTCATGGGGTCACTGTCGGCTCTCGTCTCATGAGGTCACTGTCGGCTCTCGTCTCATGAGGTCACTGTCGGCTCTCGTCTCATGAGGTCACTGTCGGCTCTCGTCTCATGAGGTCACTGTCGGCTCTCGTCTCATGAGGTCACTGTCGGCTCTCGTCTCATGAGGTCACTGTCGGCTCTCGTCTCATGAGGTCACTGTCGGCTCTCACCTCATGGGGTCACTGTCGGCTCTCGTCTCATGAGGTGACTGCTCTCATCTCATGAGGTGACTGTCTGCTCTCATCTCATGAGGTGACTGTCTGCTCTCATCTCATGAGGTGACTGTCAGCTCTCATCTCGTGAGGTGACTGTCAGCTCTCATCTCGTGAGGTGACTGCTCTCATCTCATGAGGTGACTGCTCTCATCTCATGAGGTGACTGTCTGCTCTCATCTCATGAGGTGACTGTCAGCTCTCATCTCATGAGGTGACTGTCTGCTCTCATCTCATGAGGTGACTGTCAGCTCTCATCTCGTGAGGTGACTGTCAGCTCTCATCTTGTGAGGTGACTGCTCTCATCTCATGAGGTGACTGTCTGCTCTCATCTCGTGAGGTGACTGTCTGCTCTCATCTCATGAGGTGACTGTCAGCTCTCATCTCGTGAGGTGACTGTCAGCTCTCATCTCGTGAGGTGACTGTCAGCTCTCATCTCGTGAGGTGACTGTCAGCTCTCATCTCGTGAGGTGACTGTCAGCTCTCATCTCGTGAGGTGACTGTCTGCTCTCATCTCGTGAGGTGACTGTCTGCTCTCATCTCGTGAGGTGACTGTCTGCTCTCATCTCGTGAGGTGACTGTCTGCTCTCATCTCATGAGGTGACTGTCGGCTCTCATCTCATGAGGTGACTGTCGGCTCTCATCTCATGAGGTGACTGTCGGCTCTCATCTCATGAGGTGACTGTCGGCTCTCATCTCATGAGGTGACTGTCGGCTCTCATCTCATGAGGTGACTGTCGGCTCTCATCTCATGAGGTGACTGTCGGCTCTCATCTCATGAGGTGACTGTCGGCTCTCATCTCATGAGGTGACTGTCGGCTCTCATCTCATGAGGTGACTGTCGGATCTCATCTCATGAGGTGACTGTCGGATCTCATCTCATGAGGTGACTGTCGGATCTCATCTCATGAGGTGACTGTCGGCTCTCATCTCATGAGGTGACTGTCGGCTCTTATCTCATGAGGTGACTGTCGGCTCTTATCTCATGAGGTGACTGTCGGCTCTCACCTCATGGGGTCACTGTCGGCTCTCACCTCATGGGGTCACTGTCGGCTCTCACCTCATGGGGTCACTGTCGGCTCTCACCTCATGGGGTCACTGTCTGCTCTCATCTCGCGAGGTCACTGTTTTGTCCTACCTATTCCCGAGGCGTCGAAGCTCACTGTACTGTTCCCGAGGGTCGAGGGTGACAGTGAAGGTCACTGTACTGTTCCCGAGGGTCGAGGGCGACAGTGAAGGTCACTGTACTGTTCCCGAGGGTCGAGGGCGACAGTGAAGGTCACTGTACTGTTCCCGAGGGTCGAGGGTTACAGTGAAGGTCACTGTACTGTTCCCGAGGGACGAGGGTGACAGTGAAGCACATAACAGCGGTGATCTTGCACTAACAATATCGAGGGCCTGCGGGCCGCTGCAAGCAACAGCCTGTTGGACCAAGTTCTCACAAATCTAGCCTGACCCCCGGGCCTGGTTTGGGAAGTAGAACATCTCCCAGAACCCCATCAATCAGGTATCCAGCAGGATGATTAACAACTCTTAAGGGTCGTATTAGCCGGTCGTTACACACACGTGATGTAACGACCTCGTTCCGCTGCCTTGCTCGTTCCACCCAACTTCGAGAAAATGGTTCACTCGGCCAGGAAGGGATTCAGATGTCTGAACGCGGCTTAAGAAGAGTCGAGTGACTTTAAGTGAAGATTGGAGGCGACGGTTAAATCATTAATTTTTGTTCTTTTGAAGTCCCAAAAATTCCTCTTGGGAGCGGTGCTAAAGAAACAGGTTTAATGGCTTTCACTATTTTATTCTGGCGGTTTTGAGTCCCGCGGAGAGAGATAATTGAGAAGTGTTTCAAGAGGAATCACTGCAGTAAGAATTTGGCGGCAAAGTGCTCCTTAGAACTGTGTCTTACGGCACCTTAGAACAACAGTGGGCTGCGGTAAGGTGAGAAACATCATTTGGGCACCCAGAAGAGTCCTCTAATGAGGAAGAAATGAGGAGGACCAACTCTGTCCGGAAACACAACCCGCTGTTAGCCCTCGTTAACGCTTGGTGTCAGTCGTCGTGTAGGCCGCCTGGTGGAGGCTGGGCGTACCTCCTGGCGGCGTGCCTGGCTGGGCGTACCGCCTGGCAGCGTGCCTGGCTGGGCGTACCGCCTGGCAGCGTGCCTGGCTGGGCGTACCGCCTGGCAGCGTGCCTGGCTGGGCGTACCGCCTGGCGGCGTGCCTGGCTGGGCGTGCCTCCTGGCTGGGCGTACCTCCTGGCGGCGTGCCTCCTGGCTGGGCGTACCTCCTGGCGGCGTGCCTCCTGGCGGCGTGCCTCCTGGCGGCGTGCCTCCTGGCTGGGCGTACCTCCTGGCGGCGTGCCTCCTGGCTGGGCGTACCTCCTGGCGGCGTGCCTCCTGGCTGGGCGTACCTCCTGGCGGCGTGCCTCCTGGCTGGGCGTACCTCCTGGCGGCGTGCCTCCTGGCTGGGCGTACCTCCTGGCTGGGCGTACCTCCTGGCGGCGTGCCTCCTGGCTGGGCGTACCTCCTGGCGGCGTGCCTCCTGGCGGCGTGCCTCCTGGCTGGGCGTACCTCCTGGCGGCGTACCTCCTGGCGGCGTGCCTCCTGGCTGGGCGTGCCTCCTGGCTGGGCGTGCCTCCTGGCTGGGCGTGCCTCCTGGCTGGGCGTGCCTCCTGGCTGGGCGTGCCTCCTGGCTGGGCGTGCCTCCTGGCTGGGCGTGCCTCCTGGCTGGGCGTGCCTCCTGGCTGGGCGTGCCTCCTGGCTGGGCGTGCCTCCTGGCTGGGCGTGCCTCCTGGCTGGGCGTGCCTCCTGGCTGGGCGTACCTCCTGGCTGGGCGTACCTCCTGGCGGCGTGCCTCCTGGCTGGGCGTGCCTCCTGGCTGGGCGTGCCTCCTGGCTGGGCGTGCCTCCTGGCTGGGCGTGCCTCCTGGCTGGGCGTGCCTCCTGGCTGGGCGTGCCTCCTGGCTGGGCGTGCCTCCTGGCTGGGCGTGCCTCCTGGCTGGGCGTGCCTCCTGGCTGGGCGTGCCTCCTGGCTGGGCGTGCCTCCTGGCGGCGTGCCTCCTGGCTGGGCGTGCCTCCTGGCGGCGTGCCTCCTGGCTGGGCGTGCCTCCTGGCGGCGTGCCTCCTGGCTGGGCGTACCTCCTGGCGGCGTGCCTCCTGGCTGGGCGTGCCTCCTGGCTGGGCGTGCCTCCTGGCTGGGCGTGCCTCCTGGCTGGGCGTGCCTCCTGGCTGGGCGTGCCTCCTGGCTGGGCGTGCCTCCTGGCTGGGCGTGCCTCCTGGCGGCGTGCCTCCTGGCGGCGTGCCTCCTGGCTGGGCGTGCCTCCTGGCTGGGCGTGCCTCCTGGCTGGGCGTACCTCCTGGCGGCGTACATCCTGGCGGCGTGCCTCCTGGCGGCGTGCCTGGCTGGGCGTACCTCCTGGCGGCGTACCTCCTGGCGGCGTGCCTGGCTGGGCGTACCTCCTGGCGGCGTGCCTGGCTGGGCGTACCTCCTGGCGGCGTGCCTGGCTGGGCGTACCTCCTGGCGGCGTGCCTGGCTGGGCGTACCTCCTGGCGGCGTGCCTGGCTGGCGTACCCCCTAGCTGGGCGTAACGCCTGGCAGCGTGCCGCTACAAGAATCATACAAAACCCAGGAGAGACGAAGAGAGCAAAAGGTCATCAGTGAAATAGAGAGAAATCCGAAATATTTTTTCTCCTATGCAAAATCAAGATCAAAAACCACATCTAGTATCGGGCCCCTGCGAAAGTAAGATGGAACTCTCACAGATGACAACAAAGAAATGAACGAAATTGTGAGGAATCTGTACGACTGTTTTCAGCGAGCCACTAAACAATTTAAAAATTGATAACCCAAATGAAGTTTTTATGGATATGATACCAACATCAAATCATGGTTGTCCAGGGTTATGGAGATGCGGGGACCCATGTAGTTTGTGATCTTACTTCTTAACACATTCAAAGATTTTTGTGTGTGATGTTGGTGCCTCTGTAATTTTTGTCGGTAATTTTTTGCCTCTACCTTATTTCCTCCTTTAAGGAGTGGTGCTATCTCTACTGTTTTTAGTATGTCGGGGATAACGCCAGTGTCTAAGCTCTGTCTCCAAAGAATGTTAAGGTACATACAACAAATTCATATACACTATGACCAGCCAACGCTGTGTTTAGTCTTTAATTATAGACGATGTAATGGGCTCGAATTAGTGTTCCTGGACTCCCTCTGACACACGCACTACCGTCTGAACCACGAAGAGCTTGCTATTTCTAGCCCGGCCTCCCGAAATGATAATACAGTAACTATTTGGAGGAAAGTACCTATATGTAGTGATGGACCTCCAGTAAAGTACTTTTTATGAAAGTGATTTTAGGTTTGTCTGAAAAATAAAGCTAAGATAAAACTTAAATATTCCTACGCCTAGTACAGCACATATATGTACTATATTAGGGCCTAAGATAGCATGTATTGCGCCTAAGATAGCCTGCATTGGGCCTAAGATAGCATGTATTGGGCTTAAGATTGCTAGGAAAAGTTAGGTTAGATGTCATTTATGTTAGGGTTACAAAGGTTATCACTTTGTCTAAATTCAATAATACAAAACTTAACTTGCTGGTGGTCTAGGATGAAGGGCTCAGGTTTTTCTCAAGTAACTTGGCTGTTTTGAATGAGGAATATATTGAGTGGTGAAGATTCTCTGGTGTGCCCCTATTGTGTACCTTGTGTGCCCCTATTGTGTACTTTGTGTGCACCTATTGTGTACCTTGTGTGCCCCTATTGTGCACCTTGTGTGTACCTATTGTGTACCTTGTGTGCCCCTATTGTGTACTTTGTGTGTACCTATTGTGTACCTTGTGTGCACCTATTGTGTACCTTGTGTGCCCCTATTGTGTACCTTGTGTGTACCTATTGTGTACCTTGTGTGCACCTATTGTGCACCTTGTGTGCCCCTATTGTGCACCTTGTGTGCCCCTATTGTGCACCTTGTGTGCCCCTATTGTGCACCTTGTGTGTACCTATTGTGCACCTTGTGTGCCCCTATTGTGCACCTTGTGTGCCCCTACTGTGCACCTTGTGAGCCCCTATTGTGCACCTTGTGTGCACCTTGTGTGCCCCTATTGTGCACCTTGTGTGCCCCTATTGTGCACCTTGTGTGCCCCTATTGTGCACCTTGTGTGCACCTATTGTGCACCTTGTGTGCACCTATTGTGCACCTTGTGTGCCCCTATTGTGCACCTTGTGTGTACCTATTGTGCACCTTGTGTGCCCCTATTGTGCACCTTGTGTGCCCCTACTGTGCACCTTGTGAGCCCCTATTGTGCACCTTGTGTGCCCCTATTGTGCCCCTATTGTGCACCTTGTGTGCACCTATTGTGCACCTTGTGTGCACCTATTGTGCACCTATTGTGCACCTTGTGTGCCCCTATTGTGCACCTTGTGTGCCCCTATTGTGCACCTTGTGTGCCCCTATTGTGCACCTTGTGTGCCCCTATTGTGCACCTTGTGTGCCCCTACTGTGCACCTTGTGAGCCCCTATTGTGCACCTTGTGTGCCCCTATTGTGCACCTTGTGTGCCCCTACTGTGCACCTTGTGAGCCCCTATTGTGCACCTTGTGTGCCCCTATTGTGCACCTTGTGTGCCCCTATTGTGCACCTTGTGTGCACCTATTGTGCACCTTGTGTGCACCTATTGTGCACCTTGTGTGCCCCTATTGTGCACCTTGTGTGTACCTATTGTGCACCTTGTGTGCCCCTATTGTGCACCTTGTGTGCCCCTACTGTGCACCTTGTGAGCCCCTATTGTGCACCTTGTGTGCCCCTATTGTGCACCTTGTGTGCCCCTATTGTGCACCTTGTGTGCCCCTATTGTGCACCTTGTGTGCCCCTATTGTGCACCTTGTGTGCACCTATTGTGCACCTTGTGTGCACCTATTGTGCACCTTGTGTGCACCTATTGTGCACCTTGTGTGCACCTATTGTGCACCTTGTGTGCCCCTATTGTGCACCTTGTGTGCACCTATTGGGTACCTTGTGTGCCCCTATTGTGCACCTTGTGTGCCCCTATTGTGCACCTTGTGTGCCCCTATTGTGCACCTTGTGTGCCCCTATTGTGCACCTTGTGTGCCCCTATTGTGCACCTTGTGTGCCCCAATTGTGTACCTTGTGTGCACCTATTGTGTGAACCTTGTGTGCACCTTGTGTGTACCTTGTGTATACCTTGTGTGCACCTATTGTGCACCTTGTGTGAACCTTGTGTGCACCTTGTGTGAACCTTGTGTGAACCTTGTGTGCACCTTGCGCATCTTGTGTGTGTGTGTGTGTGTATATATATATATATATATTATATATATATAATCCTCCACAGTATGTTTGCCTTTAGCCTCTAGCAGAACTATTTATAACTGCCACAACCCGCCATAAAATATTGTGGTATGCTAATGCTCATCTGGATACTATGAATTACTTACAAGTTTTTACTCCTGCATGTTCTTTGATGTGTAGCAGCGTGACGGGCAGCAGACACACACACACACACACACACACACACACACACACACACACACACACACACACACACACACACACACACACACAACAGCGGCTCTTACACGGCAAGCAACGCTGTGGAAAACTTTTATTGCAAGTCCCATAAGCCTCTGAGCAACTCAATCGTACTGTAACATCTGGTCTCTGTCTTTGCTGTGTCTGGTCGCAAGGATTTACTTGCTTGATGAAGTCTTGGGAGTTCTTCTACTCCCCAAGCCCGGCCCGAGGCCAGGCTTGACTTGTGAGCCAAAGCCTGGCTTGACTTGATCAGGCTTGACTTGATCAGGCTTGGCTTGATTTTAGTGTATGTGTCAGGGTCCAGCTGGATCAGTATGTCCGCCGACAGTGTCATCCTGCTATAGTAAACAGCCCGCTCAGTGCCATGTGTAGACTTTTAAGGTGTTTTTGCCCAACAGGAAACGCAAAAACTTGAGCAACCCGCCAACTACACCTCGCCTGGCTGATGTTTATCAGTGTCAGGAAGGATATATTTTGCGGTGGTATTGTATTAAATCCTCCCAATTTTTACGTTGGGTCTAATGTGTAATATATATATGTCGTACCTAGTAGCCAGAATGCACTTCTAGGCCTACTATGCAAGGCCCGATTTGCCTAATAAGGCAAGTTTTCCTGAATTAATATATTTTTTCTTATTTTTTTCTTATGCAATGATAAAGCTACCCATTTTATTATGTATGAGGTCAATTTTTTTTATTGGAGTTAAAATTAACGTAGATATATGACCGAACCTAACCAACCCTACCTAACCTAACCTAACCCATCTTTATACATTAGGTTAGGTTAGGTAGCCCAAAAAGTTAGGTTAGGTAGTCGAAAAACAATTAATTCATGAAAACTTGGCTTATTAGGCAAATTGGGCCTTGCATAGTAGGCTGAGAAGTGCGTTCTGGCTACTAGGTACGATATATATATATATATATATAATATATATATAAATTTCCGAAAGTTCTTCACCGATTGCTTTGAAATTTTGACACAATGTACCATTCGCCTACGGCCATGTTTTTTTTTATATACATTATATATAGACATCGCGTCTGTTACAGGTAAAACCATATTTTTTTTTTTTTTTAAACTTTGTTTTTCATTAGTTTTCATGTGAGGGAAATCTCTGAAACATCTTTACCGGTTGCTTTGAAATTTTGACACAACCTTGCATTCGAATATGCGCATGTTTTTATATACCTACTATATACATGTCACACATGTGACAGGTAAAATCATGTTTTTTTTTTTTAACAGTGCTATCTGTTATAAGTAATAGCAACACACACTAATCTCCGAAAGTTCTTCACCGATTGGTTTGAAATTTTGACACAACGTTCCATTTGAATACGTGTGTTTTTCTACTTTTCTACTATATAGATGCCACAACTGTGACAGGTAAAAACTGTTTTTTTAAACAGTGCCATCTGTTGTACGTCATAGCAAATTTCATAGATTTCAATTTATTTTAATTTTGATTTAATTATTTTGTGACTGCGTTGGAATTGAGCTGTGTTTACCATACCGTTCATTTCGTGAGTATAGATTATTTTTTTTATTTTTTTCATTTTGTTTTGTTAACCGTTCTCCGTATTTTTCAGTGATGGGAACATCAGATCATTTGATGTTTCCATTTTTCTGATGTTAATATCAGATCATTTGGGAATGCATCAGATGAGAGAGTGGGGAATGGTGGGGAGGACACGGGGACAGGGGTGTGGGGGAGGACGAGGGGACAGGGAGGTGGGAATGTTTGGGGGCACAATCGACTTGAGAATGGTCCAGGACGGACCGAAACGTCGTCGTCCCTTCACTTTCTAGCGTGTGGTCTGGTCAACAATGTTTGGGAGGATGAGGGGACGGGAGGGTTGCTGAGCCACAGCAACGCGAGCCCGGGTACAGTTGGTATATATATATATATATATATATATATATATATATATATATATATATATATATATATATATATATATATAAATAAATAATATATAAATAATATATATATATTGTGACGGTAACGCGTTGGTGTTCGGCTGTTCAAAGCTAGGGGTATGGCCTCGTCACATAGTATTAAAAA